AATATTTTTAAAATAATTTTTAGTGGAAAAAAAAAAATAAAAAAATAAAAATAAATAATCAACCATACATTCCTAATTTCTATGAGAATCTGTACACAGTATTTACTGTCCCCCCAACTTGGACGAGATGGGACACAAGGTCTATTTTTAGGTGGGGACCCGAGCACATACAACTGGGACAGGAACAAAAATTCCCCTCAGTCATCAGTTGCACTGGCCTTGGTACAAGCACCGATTCCTCTCTCTGGTGCAATGAGAGAGCGCAGCCTCGGGCAGCTGTTCCCCAGGACTGGGCACCTCTTCAGTACAAGTTTCTCAGTTGCCCCTCTGTCCAAAGCGGGGTTTACACACTATGAGAATCTGAAGATGACAATCCTTAAAAAGGCTACATGATTTAAGTGTCATCTGACACACTGCAATTATTTTACTTTTAATTCAGTTGTTTCAGCAAATCATTCCTTCAAAATATCAAAATTTTACTTTTCTTAATTGCTATTTCACTAAATATTTTTATTTTTTTTTTATCATACTTCCATTAATTAATTTTTTGTTTAAAAAGGTAGTAAACTTAAGAACCTAGAGACAAAATGCAAATCTCATAAAGCTTCTTGAAACATAAAAGTCAAACTATTAAATAATTGCTGAAAATGATAATTTGTAAAAATTAACAGGTAGTTAAAATCTATATATAAAAAAAAAAAAAAAAACTTAGATTTCGTAAATGTCATTTCTGGTCATCCATAAAAACTGCCATCACCTTAAGAGCTTAAACATAAATTAAAGTAAGAGGAATCCATCGTTAAGAAATGCTTGTTTAGGTAATACCACTTTTTTTTTGCAGAAAACAGTATAGTGTAATGAAAAAGGCCACAAAGTCAATGAAAAATTTTTATCATCAAAATGTTTGTTATTAAGATGAAAGACCAAAGTATATTTTAATAACATGTTCGAAATTTTAGTTAAAATCTTTTGTTTACATCATCGCAATGACTAATTTAATAACACATTTTTGCGCTTAAATAAAAAAAAAAAAAAAAAAGTTACCCTCATGAAATTTTGCACAAAACCTTTCTATTTCCTGATTTTTTATTTTTTTTTTTGTTAAAAGGAGCCGCCTTGGAGATTATGAATCACCTACCCCCCACCAATTTGAGCTATTTTGAAAGTCTGCTCCGAATTGAAAAATAATGAATCCAATAAAACTATGACATTATTTAATTAGAAAAGCTTTTAATTGCTTTTGTAAATAAGTTATATTAAGGACATTATTGTCTGAAGAAATAAAATTTTTCTGATGAATGACTGTTTACAAGACTTTTTTTCATTTTAATAATTTAGTTTAAAATCGTGTAAAAAAATTCTGTATTGGGTTATTTCCTGGATGTGATATAGTAATTAAGTGGAAACAAAATTTACAAATCCAAAATTGAAAAGATTAATAAACGTAGTTGAGCTACTCTATTTTTAAAATAATTTTTTATTTTGTAATTTTTTTTTTTTACTTAATACGTTCCTTATTTTCATGATAGACTAAAATTGCAGTTATGAAAAACGGTCACATGATCTAAGTTTTGTCCCTTTATTAGGTCGCTTCAATTACATTTCAACAGCTTTTAAAAATTTAAAGCTTCAACTAAGTTTTACTTTTTTTCAATTACTATTTCGCTAAATTAAATATTTTATTTTATGTATAATTTACATTAGTGTGGGTCATACTTCAAATGAGTAATTATGGTATTTCATCTGTTATTAAATTATATACTTGAAAATTTTATAGTATTTTAATTTTTTTTTTTTCATCTTCGAAAGTAAATAAGTCAATAAAATATTAAATAATTGCGGAAAATATGTTCATTTGTAAAAATTACTAGGTGGTTAAAAACCAAGAAAAGCGTTCACTTACATTTCTGACAATTATGTCAATTAGTTATCCATAGTATTTGTCATCGCTTCGTCACTAAATCGCCCATCAATCATCGATTTAGATAAACACAGCCAATCAATAACCAATGAGTGTATATTACTTTTTTATGCTATAATTATTTATTTCAATCAGATTAATTTAACTTTTCTAATTTTACTCAAATAACGTGTCAGAAATATATGTATTTTTGTAAAGAATTTTAAACCTTTTTGTTTACAAATTTCTTAAAATTTGTAAAATGGCCGCTTTTAAAGAAAATTTTTAAAAATCGATATTAAATTTGACATTCCAATCTATTTCAAATAGATCAGATTATTTTACTTAATCAAATAGAAATAATACATTTTTAATCATTAAGCCTGCAATTAAAGGTAAAATGAATTCTTCAAGAAAGCGTTAAACCAATTAGGTATCTCCACTGAATTTTCGATACCTATGTTTCAGAATTAAATTTTAAAAATGAAAAAGCATTCTTGAAGATTTCTAGTTTCAATTGAAAGCTAAATGATTAAATTTATTATTTCAAGTAAGTAAAATCTTGTGTATTTCAAAAAGAAATTATAGATTGGAATGTCAAATAATTGCTCGATTTTTAAAAAAAAAATTTTTAAACGGCCATTTTTCTCAATTTTTAAGTTTGCAAACAAATTTAAAAATAAGATTTGTGACACGTTATTTGAGTAAAGTTAGAAAATTATAAGCTCATCTGATTTTGAAATGTTATAGCATTAAAAATATAGGCACCTCCGCTTTTTCGGCATAAAATTTTCGATACCTAATTACATTCTCTAATTTTCCTCAAATAACTTTAATTATGAAGTATAATTGTTACAAGATTTTTTAAACAAAATATTTTAACTTGTTTAGTTTACAAAAGTCTCAAAAATGGTGGACATCAATTTTAGTAATTTCGTTAAAAAAAACAAAAAAAAAAACAAAACTGACATGCTAGAAGTGTTAGAAATAATCAAAAATAGTTCTCTCTTAATAACAAACATTTTTAGACGATAAAAAATGTGTTTTCATCAAGGTATGCTCTTTTTAGCGAAAAAGTGGAGATACTTATTATGGTACACTTTTTCATCACAACAGGTCTATCCTCTCCCCACAGTGGAGTTACCTAAATAAATGTGTCAACACTTAAAAAAAAAATTTTCTGCGATATTTTTAAATAATCAAGATTAGATAATGCCGGAGTGACATGAGCCCATTAAACTTTCACGCAGTAATCGACGGTAACCGGGACAACTAAAATTGTCAATATCTCCTAAACGGTAAATTTAAGCTAATTTTTAATGTTATTTTTGAAATAATGACGCGATTTTACACAAAGAATGTTTTTTTTTTTTAAATTTGTCACTGGAGCATTATCTGCAAATTTACTAAAATTTCAAGATTAATTTTCTCTAGAAAAGATCACCTGAAATGTAGGACTAGTCAAGTGTCCAAGAAAAATAAACGATTCGACATAGAATCACATTTATTTTTAATTTATTTTTGCTCTCCACACCCACGTGCTCAAAGTTCGTTTGAATTTGGGTCCATAGCACAGTTGAAATGTATGAATGACAAGAAAGTGTTAGTTAACTGCTACAGTGGCAAAATATATTCTCAACAAAACAATCTCGTGACATGCGACAATAGTTTACATGGAATAAAAAAAAATCTCTACAAGATGTGGAAGAAACTGAGAAATGAATTTTTAAGGTTTCAAATGCCATTTAAAAATAAAAATCGTCTACGCTCTGAATGTTACTAGTTTTGTGTAAAGCTACCAAGAAACATAGATTTGTTCCCGGTTCGGGTTACAGGTAAATAATTTCTACCTGTAATTACTGGGAGAGTTTACACATTCTGCAACAAGGAATAAAAAAAAGTTTTTGCTTCAAGAGGGATTTATCTTGAAAATGTACTCACTGATGAGCTTATCAACAGTCAGCGATACACGCCATATTGGAAGGTGCTTTTTTTTTAGGTTTTCGTCTGTGTTTTTATCACAAAATTCTGTCGTTATAATGCCAAGGCCAATTAAGGGATGCATCAATTCAAATAATATACATTGATTAAAATAACTTTTCTTTAATCACGACTTCGAAAGGTGAATAAGTTCCAGATTAAAATAACTTTAGTTTTAGAACGGAATTTCACCAAGAAGCTTAGCATTAGAAAAAGCAGCAAGTCAGTTTCGTATTTAATAAAACGCTTAAATACGAGATTTGATGGCAATTTTATTTCAAAAAGTAAAACATATGCAGTGAGGTTTTAAGAGCTTTAGCCCCAATTCCACGTTAAAGGTTTTATATATTTGAAATGACTAAAATAAATATTTTAAAAGAAAAAAAGATGTAGGAATAGCGTTAAAGAAAAAACTAAAAGCAAACAAGTGGCATCTACCTTTAAAATTTTAAACGGGAAACGTTTTTTTAATGAATTTTTCTCGAACATCCGGGGGGGGGAGGTAAAAGAGGACAAAATTCGTGGGTTAAAAAGATCAAGTATACAGAAAAATCACAGTAAATTATCAAGTATCTCAAAGCTATGATCAAGTAAAAATATAAAAAATAAAAGACAAAAGAGGTTTGTGAAGTGACAATGAATGTATTGCAAATTCAATGAACCAATACACAAGACAGCCAATATTTTATACCAAGCCACGTGTTACTCTGGCGGTAAAAAAGTACGACAGTCACTGAAAAAGAATAATGTTCTTACTCGTTTTCCACATTCATTGTTTGTGTTCCCTTAAAATTCGCACAGGGGACATGAGTAACAAGAGTGTAGAGTTTGTTCGGCGAATCTTCGTCTTCGTTACGACGACGAGACAGCCTTACTCTGACACGGAACGGCACATGGCGGATTCCTTTTGACCAAATATGTTTGTTCAATTTGGTGTCAATACGAACATCTTGAGTGCGCATCATCCTTTCAGCGAACATCTTTATTTTCTTAATAGCTTTTGGGGCCTTCTTCTTTAACTTCACACCATATACTTTCTTGTGCAGATGAATGGTACATTCCTTGGTAATCACCTCGTTCATCGAAGATTTCTTCCTTTCGTTCTTTTGTCTTGCCATCTTTAGCCAAAAAATATACTTTAAAAGGAAAAAAAAACATCCAATCAATTTCAAAACTAAACTTAGGAACCATTTAAACTGAACAAAAATACCAATACTTAGAAATTGTTTTAAAAAGCTCAAAAAAATAATACTTACGTGCTCACAAGATGGAAATAGACGTACTCCCTAATGAAGACGTGGGGGGAAAAGGACGTAGAATTGCAAAACAGAGCTATGGATTCATACTTTGTTTTCGTATTTAGGGTGTTTCACACGTAAATTATTTATAAAATTGTATTATAATATAATAGTTATATTAATTATATTATGAATTTAACCTTATAAAACAAAGAAGATCACAAAGAATTAGTTTTAGCCATAATGAAATTCAAATAGTACAATTATTACTATAACAAAATAACTAAATTTTTATTTTAACTATAATTATTTTAATATGATAATCACAAAATAATTCTTTTATTAATTCGATATGAAAATTATATTTTTATTGTTAAATTATATTTTAAATGTAAACACTATGTTAAAAATTAGAATGTAGATAGGTTCGAAACAGCGGCTAATTTTATCGACATTCCGTAATACGTAATACTTTGCGATATTTTGCGAGAACTTATAAAAAAACGATAAAAGAAAATTCCACAAAGTTCATTTTTATGTGAAATGAAAATATTAAACAACTTTTATTTAACACACAAGAATATTTTTCGATTTAAACTGGAAAGGATATCAATAAATTAGTAACCTAATAAAAAGGGATGCTTTTTATTTTTATAAATGTGAAGTTCTGTTAAACAGTTAACTAGTTTTTCTTTTTAACGCTTTTAGTTTTACTTTACATTTTTTACAAACATATAATTTTTTTTCTCAAATTATTCACTTAGGTTTTTTTAAAATATGTTTTCCTTTTAATAAAGACCTGTGGATACGATAAGTACTATACTGTCTCAGAATGTGAGAAAAAAAAAACATAAAAAGTTAAATTAAAATTAAAAACCATTGAGCAGTGATTTACGTAATAAAATAAATATTATTTGCCTTGATAAATTTTCTCCAGCAACGAAATTTGTTGGAATAAAAGTTTTGTAATTTTTTCATTATGAATAAAAAACAAAAGGGAAGCATCCGATCATTTTTTAGTCCTCTGATGGACTTATCGATGTAAAGGACGAAACGCGCGTCAAATGTAACTTCTTTTCTTTTCTTTTTTTATTTTATTTTATTCATCTTGTCCTTTTACAGAGATATTTTTAGTTATCGGAATTTTTACACACATAATAACGTTGTTAAGTTAACAGATCTTCTCTACCAACTTAACAACGTTAAACCTAGATTTTACTTTTGAAACTGAAACCAATTACACTCTTCCCTTCCTAGATATCATATTACATAGAAATAATAACGAAATCAATTTTGACGTTTACGGAAAGGCTACAAACAAAAATGATCTGATCAGTTTCTACTCAAACCACTCTTCTAAAATTAAATATGGAATTATTATAGGTTTCTATCTGAGAGCATTAAGAAAATGCAACCCCCAATATTTACCTAAAGAAGAAACATACATAGAAAACACACACTACCCATATCATTTCATCCACAACACAAAAAGAAAGGCATACAAAATATACAACTGAAACAAAAATAATAACATAATCTGCAATAATAAATTACATGAAAACAGATGCATAATACTACTGACCAACTCTGTCACGTCCACTATCCAGAATAACCTATCCTATCTAAATAATCTTAAAATAGTCACAAAAACTTCCAAAACCATTATGGATGTACTCAGATCCTCAAATACTAATAGCAATAATATTTCTGAAACAGGCATTTATAAAATAAATTGCCAAAACTGTTCCTCCCAATATATTGGAGAAACAAGTAGAAATTTTTAAAAAAATGGATTTATGAGCACAAAAGAGACCTCACAAAAACAACTTAGCTAATGCACTAGTCATACATAGAAATAAATTTGATAATTTTGATTTTAAATATGCTACACGCATAAAAAAAAAAAAATAACTCACTGAGAAGGAAAATCCTTGAGAGTGCCACCATTAAATATTATCCAAATATTAATCTACACCCAGTCTTTTTTCCTATATCACCTTTCCTAACAGAATTACTATTCTCCCAAGAAAACATACACAACTGTATCAAGAAATCAAAAGAAAATGGTTGAATCTGTCAACACAACAATAAAAACAATATTTCCACATATGATAGTACTTGAAATAATTTTCAGTTGACAATATGAATAAAATAGCATTTTCTAAATTCTTCTAGTTACTAAGGACATTTTCTTTTGTTGTTTATAGTTACTTTGTTTGAATAAATTAATTTCGTTTTTGCCTTGAAAAAGTCCACATTGGACAAAATGCATTGGCTGATAATACAGTTTTTTACCTTGATACCTGTGTGGATGTGTGTGTATAATAAAAAGTTAATGGTCAGAGTTGAATTAGACCAGGAAACAGTAGTATTAAAAAATGCTCAATACACATATAAAAAGATAAAAATTTAACATGTAGAAATTTTAAGTATAAGAAATTAGGAGATCAACGACTTTTGGCCATCCCTGATATACAAACATCATGGATGTATGTGTTAACGCGTAACAGTTATCAACATGGAGAGAGAATTGGCAAGCTGACTTCAAATCCTAGCTTATTCTCTTGTGTTCACTTTCTTGGGAAAGACATGAGACCATTTCTTCTCCTTCCATTTAGTCCTGAGTGGCAGCCACTCTCAATGAATTACAGTGAATTCACAAATGTGGAGAAGGCAATGGAAAACCATTGCAATACACAGCAATTTCAAAAATGGAAATTGTGAAGAGCCATGATCACCTATGTTCTGACCATAAATGTCATATAAAAAATAACAAGTCTTGAAAGTTAAATTTAACTGTACTTGAAGCAAGTCTGTCATTAAAGTATCTATGGTTGGGGTTAATACACGTATGTGTTAACAGTTCAATTAAGCCCTTTTTGTAATCACTACTACCAGCAGATTTAGCAGTCAGTCATTGGCTGAACACAGGACTCAAGTTTAATCATGATATTAGTTAAACATTCAATAGAGAGACACAAAAAGCTGAATTATGTTATTGCTTTCTGATCATCCCTTGGCTTTTTCCTTTTTTTTGTTAATTATGCATTTTTTTCCTTTGGTTCTATTTGCCTGTTCCTCTGATCATTTGGTTTTATGAGCATCATATTTAATAGTTAATGAATCCTTTTTATACCATGTGAATGATAATATTTCCAATGAAACATGATATGACACAAGGTTAGGTTTAATGTGGGGAACCTGAGCATGTACACCCAGACCAGGGACAAAAATTGCCCAACACCGACAATGACTACCAATCTCCCCTCTTTAGTACCAGATGTCCTGTTGATATCAAAGGATAGGTTCAAGATTGGGGAACTGACTATATCTCCTTACCCTTATTACTACCACAATGTGATGGAGGATCAAGAGAGTCTGCTGATATCATGAGGTACTGCTGGGGTGCTTTGTGTTGCATATATACACAAAGTGCTCCTTAAAATTTAAAAGTTTATCACATTGATAAATCTGCTGTCTATCTGTCAAAAGCAATTCTTAATGATGACATTTGTTGTTTTATTGATTGATTCATTCATTTTCTACAGCTTATCAACCCTTTGCAGGTTATTTTAAGACAAAATATGTAAGAATTTTTTTGGAGATAATATTGTTTTAGTGATATAAGTCTTAGTCATAACTAGGAGAGAAGAGGTGGATTCCTATCTTTCCTCAAGGGTATTTGCACATAAGTGAATATAACGAACTCAACAGGAATTGGAACTCAGCACTCCAATTAACAATTCTGGGCTATTATCCATTACACCACCTGCACATCCAAGCTTACAGCACCCAGTATTCCCAAGCAGTCACACATCTAGGTACTGACCATGTTCGACATTGCTTAACTTAAGTGATTGTGGGAACCTGCATTTTAGCTGTAAGTAAATTTGATATTTGTAAATGAAAACAAGGTAAAGATAACTTTTAAAAAATCAGGGATCAATTTGACACTGTATTTACAATCATGAACAGAACCCCCACTTCTAAAATGATAGAAAATCAATATTTTTTTTCTGACAAATGTCAGAAAAAAAATTTGTCACAAAAATTTTTCTCTATTTCTTTTTTGAACAGATTAAACTACTAGAATTTGGGACCCTTAAACCTAATTCCTGCTCTTTCTTAATAATATGATGAGGGCAATAGTTCCAATAGATTAATGTAAAATAATGATAATTATTAGAGAATATTAAGAAATTATGAAAGTTTATGGGATAATCTAAAAGATAAAAAGACTGTTTTCAAGGACATTGTTGCTTTATCGGTGGTAGAGAAAAATGACTTAATGCCCAGCTACCAGTTGAACGGTAGGTAAACACTTGTAGCTATTTTTATATCTACTGTGAAACATTAGATACCAATTATTTGTGAATCTTGACTCAAGAGCTCAGGCAAAAGTGTTAAAATTGATCAGGAATGAAGGGCTCAAAGGGTTAGACAATTAATTTGTATTTAAAGACAAAGAAGTTTATTGTTCCACTGTACTTCATAGTTAACACATGGCAATTTGAAGTAATATCTTAAAATAGGTGTAGTCTTTTTCAAAATAATAAGTATATCTTTTATTATACATACTTGTTACTTGCATTTATTTCAAAATATTTAATAGCAGCAAATTTGTATGCATCTATTTATTTACCATCATGTGACACATATAGCCGCTTCACCTTTCAAGTAGTCATTTATAACAAAAAGTTCTAATGTAGTGTAGTGAATTGTATAAATATATATTGTATTATGCATATTTAAATTTATTTAATGTTGTTATAATGTATTATAAATGTTTATTATTTTTTGCACACATAACAGTTGGAATATGCAAATATTTTTTTGTATATGCGGATTGATATAAGAATGTGTATCAAAAGCAAATACTGAATTTTCTATCATTAAAATGCCATAAAATAGAAAAACAGCCATAGTTCAAGAACCCCTCGTCTAATTTTAATTAAATTTGTCACTGCACTCAATATAGGTTTAAAATATAATATGCTCCAAAAGTGGTTGGGGTATTATGTATCATTTAAGCTGTAGCTTGGGAACAC